AGGCATTTCAGGGTGTATTCATTCACCCAGATCGCACGGTAATGCAGAGGGAACAGCACAAGAAGCTCCTGCAGGACTTGAAGCAAAAGAGGGAGGAGTCAAGGGACGGGTGTACATGGGTTATATTCAAGGGGAAGGTAGTAGAAGCAAGTGTGCCGGCATAGAGCGGCAGTGCACCCTCCACCCGCTCTACCCATCACCTGGGAGGCAGCACCAGCTCCGCCTACCGGACGGGAGGAGGTGAGCGCCGTGTAAACAATGACATTTCTAACCACACCCTGCAAAATACAGTGTACTTAGCAAATGCTGCAGCTTCTGAGAATGGGGGGGTGGGGGGTCGGGGAGCGGGGTTACTACTAAGAGCAGAGACGTTACCGAGAACAAATTCTGGCTTGAATGTCATGTACACTAATACTGACACGTTTCTTGATAAGAGAGAGGAGTTTGAAACACTACTAAGAATACACCAACCAGATATTGTAGGAGTTGTAGAACTGTTGTACAAGAACAGGAGAATCAACCCAGAGGAATGCGAGTTCAATATTGCTGGATATGACTCATTTACAAACCTTTCTTAGAAACTTGCAAGAGGGGTGTGGTTATCTATGCTAGGCAAGACCTTAGAGCCAGCCAGGCGAGGGTACAGGGACAGGATGTTTTTGAAGAGTCCAAGTGGTGTAAAATTTAATTAATGGGAAGGGACTTACTTATTGTCGAGTGTATCCACAGATCCCCAAACTGTGGCCCACTAAATCAAAGGAACTTAAGAACCTTAATAGACAACACGGTGATGCTCAACCCTAGCCACCTCCTTATCATGGGGGACTTTAACTATGGCGACATAAACTGGAGAAACGCGTCCACACCAAATGACTTGAATAACCCTGCTACTGTTTTTGTAGAAACTCTGAGAGATAATTTTCTGTTCCAACATGTTAGAGACCCGACACATTACAGAGGGGAGCAAACACCCAAGCCACTTGACCTCATCATAGCAAACGAGGAGGGTATGGTGGCCAAACTGGAACACCTTGCCCCAGTTGGCACCAGTCACCATATAGTATTGTCATTAAGATTTAACTGTTACCTAGTTCAGGATAAGGCCAGGCCAAGGTGCAAATATTACAAGGGAAATTACAACGGGATGAGGGAAGAGATGAGAGGTATCAACTGGCCTGACTCATTAAGGCACAAGAACGCAGACACTACGCTGAATATCATAACTAGTAAAGTGACCCATTTGATCGATAAATATACTGTATACCCAAGACCAAACCCAGTGCTTCTAGGAATACGAGGGGATCCCTACACATGAACCATGCGGCGGTCGACAGAATTAAGAAGAAAACCCAGAAATTCAAGACGTGGGTTGGGTCCAACGATGAGCAAGACAGGAGGATGTATGCAAGAGCCAGAAACCAAGCAAAGATAGATTGGAGAAGGGCTGAAAAGGAGTTCCAGAGGCTGCTTGCAAGCGAGGTCAAGTCAAACCCAAAGGCGTTTTACCGCTATGCAAAGTCGAAATTGAAAACGCGAATTGGAGTATGAGACCTGAGGCTTAAAGATGGTAGTACGCAGATTCTGACCAGGATAAAGCTGAGGCATTGAACAGCTTCTTTTCCTCGGTGTTCACAAGAGAGGATGCAATTAACCATCCTGCATTTGAGGACAGACGGTTTGACACAGCACTGACCCACATTGTGTTCACAGAAGAGGGTATTAAAAATAAACTGTCCAGGCTAAAGGCCCATAAGAGTTCTGGCCCTGACATGGTGAATCCTAGGGTGCTAAGAGAGATGTGCAATGAGCTTGCCGAGCCCCTGAAGATCCTGTTTTGTAAATGCCTGGATGAACAAAAGGTCCCCAGTGAATGGAAAGTGGCTTATGTGAGTCCTATCTTCAAGAAGGGCGATCGTCACTCCACGAGCAACTATAGACCGGTGAGCCTGACCAGCATAATATGTAAAGTACGGAATATGTAAAGGTACGGAATTCGGGGGAATGTCCTACGGTGGATAGAAGACTTTCTACATGACCGCAAGCAGTGTGTGGTGATTAATGGCACGAAATCGTCATCCGTACCTGTCACAAAAAGGGGTACCACAGGGCAGTGTATTGGGCCCGCTGTTGTTTGTCTGTTTCATAAATGACATGCCTGACGTTGTACACTCCTCCATACAAATGTTTGCCAATGAAGCCAAGTTATTTCGGGAAATCAAGAACCAAGCGGACTGTAAAGAGCTGCAGAAGGACCTCTGTGGGCTCCAAGAATGGTCAAAGAAATGGCTGCTGAGATTCAATGTCACGAAGTGTAAGAAGATGCACCTTGGGCGTACCAACGGTAAGGAGGCGTATGATTTGTCCCAACGGGATGAAGAAACTCCACTAGTTGAGACTGAATGTGAGAAGGACCTAGGTGTGTATGTTGACAATGAGCTGAAGTTCTCGGGTCATTGCGAGAAGAAGGTAAATCAGGCAAATAAATTGTTGGGTCTTATAAGAAGGTCGTTCAGATATCTAGACGGTCCGTCCCTCGTAACGATCTTCAAGAGTAAAGTGCTTCCCCATCTGGAGTACTGTCACCCCGTCTGGTCCCCGAGATATGCTAGGGACTGTCAGGTGGTTGAAAATGTTCAAAGGAGGGCCCCCAGACTGGTGCCTACACTTCAGCACCTCAGCTACTCTAAGAGATTGGAGCGCCTGAACTTGCCTAGCTTATACTACAGATGGGCAAGGGGTGACCTAGTTGAGGTGTATAAGCATCTCAGGGGGCACTACTCAGTCGAGTGTCCTTACTTGGAGCTGGCGGACGCTCACCCCACAAGGGGTCACAGCTCAAGATTGAAGAAGCCGCAAGTCCAGAAAACTGTGAGGGCAAACTTTTTCGGAGTGAGGGTTGTAAACTCTTGGAACAATCTACCAGAAAGTGTTGTGACGGCACCGAGTGTGAGCTCTTTCAAGACAAGACTTGACCAACACTGGAGCGGGTTCAGGTACATTCAGGAGCCGGTGCATGCCCAGTACTTGCCAACAGTGTGTGACAGAGACGTGACTGATCGCCTGGGCGGCTAGCGAGCCGATCTTTTGGTGAGGAGATAAAAGAAAAGGAAAAGTAATCAGAGACGTGACCGATCGCCCAAGCGGCTAAAGAGCCGATGAGTGGTGAAGAGGATAAATGTAGGTAAAGTAAAGCAACTTACTGATACCAGGCACGGGAACAGTACTGGTAGGGATGCCTGGGTTGGCTCCCATCTACATAGCAAGAGTAGAGTATGAGATGGGTACCTGTCACGTGTACCTTGAGTGCTACAAGGAAACTTATTACCTGTATGTATGGAGTGTAGTCGGTATTTGGCGCTATTTTAATATGCTGGAGCTATGAATTGTTTTTGGATGAGATTGTAAGAAATAATGACCGACGTAATGAGGTCAATGATTTGTTATGAAGAGAGGAGACCTTAATAATTATTTGGAGAAGGTTGGGTATTTTGTGTTTGATGTCATGACCTTAATTACTAATACAGGTAGTTATTTTGGTGAAGGTCAACTATTTTTGTATTGTGACTGAATGTAATATTTTTTTTATTAGGAAATAAATTAGTTAAGTCTTGATTAGTGTTTCACCCTTCCTTCCACTCTTGATCTGGTCAATGAAAAACCCAACCCAATGCCTAGCTTGCTGCCAGCTACCTAAACCAGCTACATACTGTCCAGGGGGTCTGGTGGCAGCGACCTTAGAGCAAGAAATAAGTTAAGTTCCCCCTTGGGATTAGTGACCCCATAACTGGGCAGTATAACAGCACAAGGTTGAAGAAGCCACAAGTCCAGAAAAACTGTAAGGACAAACTTTTCAGAGTGAGAATTGCCAACTCTTGGAGCAATTTGCAAGAAAGAGTTGTGACATCACCGAGTTTGAGCTCATTGAAGGCCAGACTTGACCAACACTGGAGCAGGTTCCGATATATTCAGGAGCCAGTGCATGCCCAGTACTTGTCAACAGTGAGTAATAGAAACGTGACTGACCGCCCAAGCGGCTAATGAGCCGATCAGTGGCGAAGAAGGTAAAAGTATAAAAAGTCACAGTCCGGTGGGGGGTAAAATGTTTAGGGGAACAGCCACTGAACTTGGCAGGAATTTCACTCATCTCGACGTCAACTCTAAACAGATGTCAGCACTGTGGAAATTAACCAACAAAGACATTTCTCACACCCATGAGCAAATTATTAAATATTTTATCCACTAACTTGGCATCTCCCCATCTTAAATAATGTGTTGTAACAAGATTTAAGTCATAATATACGCTACAAAGTATTAAGAAAAAATGTAGAGGTTTAACTTTTTCATCCTGTCATCAAGTATCAAGAAATTTGGTGCAAATGAACAAAAATCTCGGCCAATGATGGACAAGGTATAGTTAATTTGTGTATCATTTTATTCTAATGCAAGCTCTACCGTACTGGCAGTACGAGTTAAGTGTTCAGCTGGTCTGTCACTATCAGTTGATCACCCCGTCGATGTGGCTGCAAAGTCCAGTGGTTGTTCCCCTAAGCATTTTACCCCGCTCCAGGACTGCGCATATTAACATATAGAGTTTTATCAGTTACATAAACGATTTGGGATATATCCAACCGTACAAGCTGTTGTTCATTTGGTATTATTTGTTTCTGTTTGCTTTAAGTTTGGTGCAAAACACAGAAATAATGAAAAAACTTCATTCAAAAGTGAGTTTCATATTTGACTTCAACCTTTCATAAATTTTTAAAAATTCTAACATCCTCTCTGAAGTGCTAATACCTTGAAATGATTTGCATTTTAATAGTTCAGATATTTAACATTATTTTAGAGAATAACAGGTCTGCTTACCAATTGTGAACATATTTAGTTTGAATAAATGGACAGTCACACAAAAATTTTCTATGACCCAATCAGCTATTTGTAGCTACAGATGAGGGGCGTGGCTTATGGGCCACGTTAGCATGGAAATAGTATAGTGCTCTAACCAATAGCCATGTTGTAGAAGGCAGCGAGGTGGTCAAGGTCAGCCTTAACGTCAGTGTTCAGTAGTGAGTGGTAGCCCTCACGACCTCCCCAGAAAACAAAGTTCTCAGCTCCCAGTCTCACAGCAACTTCCAGTCCTTTTTTTAATTGAGCAGCAGCAAAAGCAGTCACATGGGCATCGCAGCTTGTCCCAGCACCATGCATGTACCTTTGTGGATATACACCATATTTTATATGAGCCTTTCAATCCCAGATACACTGTTTGACAGGTCTGTATAGGTGTTTATACACAGTATTCTGAGCTCAAGAAACTAAATTTTGTTTAGAGAAAAACATTTATAATATGGAAGTACAGTACCTCGGATGAGAGAAAAGGTTACAGGTAGCCCACAAGAGCTTAACACCAGTCTTCTTTTGTAGTCCTGCAGCCAGGTCTATTACTTCATCTAAATTGGAGTTGGTTTCTGCTAGTGTTTCACCCTCGGGGGCCAAGTCACGGTCATGGAAGGTCCAATATTTGTTGCCTACGGGGTATGAATGCAATATTATTCTTTGTTAACAACACATCTAACCTATCTTATGAAATTACTCTTATAATGATGCAGTACTTACATTACTGTTGCTATATTTTCATAAATCAGCACTTTGTCATTTCCCTCAATATCAACGCATTATTTTCTTCATGAAAGCTTACTCATTAATAAAAAAACTATATTATTTGGATGCTGATCTTTAAGCAAACCTTACATCTATCAATAGATTTCATTCAGAGATGAATTGAACCATATGATTTTACTGAACAAACTGTCTATTCACTACAGCAGTGATTCCCAGCCTGTAGTTTGCGGGCGCCATTATAGAGCATGCAAGGGTTTACTAGAAAATTATGAATTATTTGGGATTATTTGTAAGAGAAATTAATGAAAATATGTAACAACTTGATATAACTGCCGTGTACAGGACGTGTGCGTTTACCCCCAGACCAAGCCCAGAGAGAGAGAGCTAGCCTTCTCACTGGGGTAAGTACACAAGTCCTGTCCAAGAGTAAATGTAAAAAGTATGTAACTGGTAACAGTTAGGCGTGTCAAACTGCAAATAACTGCACAGTATATATGAGAATTTTTCTTGAATGTAAATCCAAATTTTTGGCGCCCTCCACTATATTTATTGATAAATGTGGCCCAGAGCCTACAAAAAGTTGGGGACCACTGTACTACAGTATTTTGGGAACATGTTTGCAAACCGTGGTTTCCAGTAGCCATGTTTTATAAATTATACACCCAGGTAAGCACTCTGATCAGATCAAGTATAAATCAATGATTATAAAGAAATTGGCAGAAATAGGAAAAGAATATGATATAAACATAAAGAGTAAAATTCTTATCTACAGCATGACAGACCAATACCTAACTGGAAAGAAAGTACTGTGTCCAGTACTTGCCAGCACTGTATAATACAGAACTGCTGACCAACTGCTCGACCGGCTAGTGAGCTGGCCTGAGGCAAAGAGGATAAGTCAAAATAGCTATATAGTTAGAACAACTGATTTATCTAGGGCTGGATAATGGATTGAGCCGGGTGAAAAAGGGGGGTAAATTAGTGTCACATTCGACCAATTGGCAATGCAAGCACCAAAATCTGCGTATACACTTCCTCCGAGTCATTTGCTAAGGAAAAAAAAGTTATCCAATTGAAAATCCAAGATGGTTACCACTGAATGAATAATACACAGTGGCGGATCCAATCAACGAAGATAAGTAAAGTTGGATCTGGTTAGTACTTGGATGGGTGACTGCCTGGCCCCAAGAACACCAGATGCTGTTGGCATAAGGACTCCACTGGAAACAGGTTCCTCATGGCTTTGTTAGCTGTCTTTGGTAAATGATGCATGGCTAGAACTCTGCTCATAAGTAGAAGTCATGTGAATTCATCCCAACTACTTGAGCAACCTTCCTGCAACTTCTAGGCGTGCTGCCTACCAAGTAGCATCAACTAATATTTCTTATGATTATTTTGCACCAGTCTCTCAAAAGACCCTTAACCATGAACGTATTATGTTCTGGAAATATTCCTGCAATTACACCAGCCAAGGTGAATGGAATTTCAGTTTTATGTTGGTGGTGTACCCATGTATCTGTGTTCATTTAATTGTTTATTTAAGTACTGTGAGAGGTTTGAATCATAGACCACGTTCTTTGTGGACTTTATTCTTACAGCGTCAGCTGGTGACTGGCAACCCGCCAGACAAGCTCCCATCTCAACACATCGGAAAACATATGATGAGGTACTCCATTTCACAATCTTACATCTCCCCTCCCAAGTTAAAAGGAAATGACAATGCACATTTGAACTAACAAAAGGAAAACAATGCATTCATAAAAACAACAATAATGCAAAAAAACAAGTCAAACAAAGAAAAACAAAACAACAACAAAAACAAACCTCTAAACTAATTTTACATCACATACGTAGTCGGTCAACCAGCCCAAGGCCCGCAGTCTCTCCTGGGCCTGGCCACACACATACTGGAATGCCCATATAAATAATGTCCCCAAGCAAATAGATTGGGTGTTTAAAAATAGGAAAATAGATGAAATATTAAAGAAATATAGAAATTTTGCATCTAGAATATAACTATGTACTATAACTGATTATATGAAATATTAGGGATTTATGTGAGTCCTGAGAGGGACATTCCTGGACTGGGGTGGGGATGACTTATGTCACTTCATCCCTTTGAGATGTATTAATGTTTTTTTTTATCTCAATAAACGTATCAATCAATCAATCACACCCGACTGGGGAGGGGCCGGGGGTACGAGCGAGGGCGCGGATACGGAGGGCACAGCAGAAGGGGGGCCAGGAGGCACAGCTTGGTGCACCACCGGAGTAGTAGGCACAGGTGTGGCGCCGTTTCGCAGGTGGCGTCTGCTGCGGATGGACACCCTGCCACTGCCAATCAACCTGACGGCATACTGCCTGTGAGGGCGGGCTTCCACCACTATGCCAGTCCTGTCCCAGAGCTTGGTAGCCGCGTCCTGCACACGCACCTGCGCACCCACGGCTAGGGGAGCCAGCTGGCGGAACACCTCCCCCCACGACAGAAGGATCCTGTCCTGGGTTTCGGCCAAGCACACGTCCCTCATACAAAGTGCCTGCCGCCAGTGCTGATCCACCTTATAGTGCTGTCTGGCCACGGGAACGCCGTCACGGAGCTGGCGGCCGGTGGCAAGTTGGGCGGGCGACTTGTTCATCCCCTGCAGAGGCGTGTTCAGGTACCGGAGGAGGGCCTGGGATGTCCTATCGAAGTCCAGGCTACCCCCGGGCCCAGTGTTATCCCTGAGGAGCCTCTAGGTGGCCTTGACCCCAGCCTCTGCCCTGCCATTGGACTGGTGGAAGTGGGTCGACGAGAGCCGCACCTCGACCCCCCATGACTTGAGGAAATCTGTCATCTCAAGGCTGGCAAGGTTGGTACCTCCATCCTTGGAGATCTGCTCAGGTGCCCCCCACCTCGTGAAGTAGGCCCGCAGACGGGCGATGATTTTCCAGAGGTGGCCTCGTTGGGGAATTGGGCGATCTCCAGCCAACGTGCGAGTCGGTCAGCATATACTAGGTATGTGTGACCCTGAGGTGGAACAAATCGGCCACCACTTGTTGAAAGGGATAGACTGGCGCTGGGGTCAGAACCAACGACTCCGGAGGCTGGGAAGGGGCGTGGGTCTCGCAAGCAGCACACCGGGACCGATGATACTGCAGGTCACCCTCCATGCCAGGCCAATAGACAGACTGCCGGGCCCGCCTGAGCATTGAGTCGAGGCCCTGGTGCCCCACGTGCAGGTTAACAGCGACCCAGTGGCGGAGGGAGCCGGGGATGACAAGGCGCACGCAGCCCTGGTCAAAGGTGTAGGTGACCAAACCCCTGACCACAGCCAACCTCTCCCTCACCAAGAAGTACGGGCGCAGACAGGCCACCTCCTGTGATTTATGAGGGCGGCAGTCTCCCGCCAGCACCCTCGACACTAGAATCTGGTATACTGGGTCGTCCGCAGCCGCTTTGCACACTGTGTCTTCGTCCATAGTGATGCACCCATCCTGATCCAGTGCTGCGATTGTGACTGCACACACTGCAGCGCACAGGTCCTCCTCTTGGTCCATGTACTCCGCGTCGGGCGCCGCCCTGAGGGCGGGGAAGCGGGATAGGGCATCAGCTGCACAGTTCCGCTTCCCTGGCAAGCACTTGACCGTGAACCGGTACTGCAGGGTCTTCTCCTTGAGCCTGAACAGGCGCGGATTTGCCACATCCGTGAGGGCTCCGTCCCCTGGCAAGCCAACTAAGGGGCAGTGGTCCGTCACCAGAATGAGGTTCGGGCAGCCAAGGAGGAACAGCCTGGCCTTGCGCAGGCACCATACCACAGCCAGGGCCTCCCCTTCCACTGCAGCGTAGCTGGCCTCGGCCGTGCTCAGATGTCGGCTACCGCACAGAGCCAACCGCCACCGTCCCCTGCAGCAGAAGGGCGTCTCTGGAGAGACTCAGGCACAGTATTGTTGCAGGACGACGAAGCCGACGCCCTCCCTGCTCCAATCCGTGACTGCTGCCGTAGGCCTGAATTTGTCGTAGTACATCAAGCTGTCCTTGGCCAACTGAAAGATGGTGTCCTGGGCCTGGCAGAACTTGAGCCACAGCTGGTCGTCCCAATACACCCACTTGCCCACTGGCTTCTTGAGGAGCTCTCGGAAGGGCTCCATCACAGGTGCAGTGGCAAGGAAGGGAGCCAATTGGTTAACCAGGCCATGCCAGGACCTGATGTCGGTGATTGATGGCTGATCAGGCATGGGGAAGTCCTTGATGGCTGACAGACATTGGGCAGTGGGCTGGTAGAGGTCCCACCACAGGAGGAAACCCACAAACTCGGCTTCTCTCCTGCAGAACAAGAACTTTTCTGGGTTCAGTGTGATACCTGTGCGAGCGCAAGTCTCCAGAAAATCGTAGGTGTGCCAGAACACCCCCTTCACACTGGAGTCATAGGAGAGTATCACCCACGCACTTGTACTTGCGGGACACATCCTGAATAGCGTCGTCAAACCTCTTGGTGTAGGCATCTGATGCTGAACAATGTCCCATGGGCGTCCTGCAGTATCAAAAACGGCCCCACGGCTTGATGAACGTGGTCAGGCGTCTACTCTCCTCCTCCAACTCCACCTGATGAAGTCCCCAAAAGGCGTCGGCGACGGTTTTCAACACGTGCGCTGGTACCCCAGACACCATGTCGAATGGTGCAGGTGTGTGATGCATCTCCCTCAGACAGCTTGCATTGAGGCGTTGGAAGTCTACAGTGCTCCTGGGCTGACTGTTTTTCTTGGCCATCACGACCATCCTGGCGCACCACTCCATAGCCTCACCAGCAGGCACCAGCTGGATGATGTTTCTCCTGACGTCCTCCTTCAACTGGGCCTTCACCTCCACTTCCCAGTGTTTCGGAACGGGAGCAGGTGTGTGACAGGCGTAGGGGGTCGTGCCGGGTGTCAGGTGGATACGGTGAGGGGGACCAGTCATGACTGGCAGTGGGGACCTGCTGGTGTTGAATGTGGTGAATGAAAAGTGCATGAGTAGCCATGCCTCTAACCTGGCCACATTCTCCTCCAAAGGAGGCAAGGGTATCTCAACTGGCCTCGGCAGGACACGACTGCTCTCAGGTAAAGGATTCGGAGGTAGGTCGTCGGCAGTGTGCCGCTCCCCTCCATCGCCCATGGCAGCCACAGCACGCCTATGGAGCGGGAAGTCGACAGTTGAGGCACTTGCAGGCCTCCAATGACAGGTAGAGGGCCTTGGCTGTCTGCACGAAGTAAACCTCCTGGACGGTGGACCCGTCGCCCACACTGAGGCGGCAGGGGGCGGACCCCAGACACTTGAGCTGTTTGTTCGCCACGTCCCTCAGGCCATTACGAGCCCGAAGTTGCCCCGGACACAAACCAATGTCCTGGATCAGGGATGCCCCTGCCACACACACCATAGCACCCGTGTCAGCCACAGCCAGCACAGGGGAGGGGGGGGGGAATTGCCCCCAGCCTGGGTCACGAACACTTGTAACCTGGGGTGGCGGGATAGCTGGGCTGTTGCCACTGTGACAGCACCTGACACATCCACAGAAGCACTTAGGACTGACTTACTCCTACAACACCTTTTGAAGTAACCAACCTTAGAGCAATTGCGACATGTGGCCCCATTTGCAGGGCAGTTACTTTTACCAGAGGCATGTGACACGCCGCAGTTCCCACAGTGCGCGGGAGTGGGTTGTATAGGTCGGGCAGCAGCTACCTCAGACTCACCCGTGACGCCATCACCAACCGCCGCTGCCTCCGTGTCTGTTCCCGCCACTCCCTGGCCAGACGTACGACACAATACACCAGCATCTCTCACTGCTGACTCAAATAACATTCATTTATTTCTAAGCACTTCAACACTATTATAACTTGAGTACCCCTGGAAAATTTCCCTTTTCAACACGGGGTTACTCAGGCCCACCATAACTTTATGTAATAGCATGTACTCAGCGAGATCGTTATCACAGGTGGGACATTTAAATTCACACTCCACTGCCTCTGTGAAGCATTGTTGAAAATACCTTTTCATGGGCTCCTCTTCACCTTGTTTGCTGTTGAAAAACTCGTTCCATTTCACAGCTTGGTTTGACGATTGAAGAACCTCTCCACTGATGGCGTTCAGGGCTTCCTTGGGCGAGAGCTGCTCCCACTGACCGCTGGGATATCTCAAGTCAATCAACCTTTGGAGTGCGGGGACGCAGTTCAGTCGAATGTGGAGTGTGGCCACCAGTTGTGACGATCCGTTCAACAGCACCCACGACTCCATGGACTGCCTCCATGTCCTAAACGCAGCTGCTGGCATTTCTGCCTCACACTTCTCTGGAGCGACAGCTGCTGAGAGCTTCATGACCGGCTTAGAAGCATGACCACCGCCAGCAGCTAGAGACGCCATGGTCTGCTGCTGAGCACGCGTGGTGTTCCCCACCGGTGTAGAGATGCCCTGGCGTCCCCTTGAGGGCGTCGAGAATCGTGGACGTGTTGGGGCCATGTTGGCGTTCTTGTCAGGGCTGTAATGGCGTGTCGGGCCCCGGCATCCTACTCACTGCGCCATGTGAGAGATTTGAATCATAGACCACGTTCTTTGTAGACTTTATTCTTACAGCGTCAGCTGGTGACTGGCAACCCGGCGCTGCCACAGACAAGCCCCCACCTCAACACACCGGAAAACATATCGTACGATGGTACTCCATTTCACAATCTTGCAATTACAGTACAGTATTTCATGTGCTTTGTGTAGATCTTTTAAGTTTTGCCTCTAATATCTAGTTCAGTGAGGCTTAAGTTAGATCAAGATGTCTGAAAATTTGCCTCAGGAATGCATCCCCCAATTACAAATCAAAGTCTATGAGAATGAAGTTTCCTATTTACATCACATTTTCTAGGAAGCATCCCAACATAATCAAAACTTGCTTTACAGCTTTCTCTCCTTTCCGAAGTATTTTTCTAGTAGATGCCTGACCATAAATATTTTCTGTAGTCCCCCTGCCTGGTAAGAACCTAAACTGTATTGCATTAATGTCCATTCGCTCTCATATTAATTTCCTGATCACTTTCCACAACTTTCATAACCTGATCCAACAATTTCAGGCCCCTGAAGTTTTGACAGTCAAGTACATCATATTTTCCTTTGTAAGTATTCACAATCACTCTCTCCTGCCAGGTAACCGGAACAAAGCATTCCATCATAACTGCATTAGTCACTTCGGTCACCATCGTATATATGCCTTGATCAAGTGGAACACAAGCCTCCTTTCATATCCATTTCCTGCTCTTCTTTTTTTTCTACAGTACTGTATTAACACATATGAAAGATAATTAGTATGAGATAATTACGATAACTTACCTAACTTGGAGAAGAATTCAAATGCAGCACGTAGACGACGTTTTGCATTATTTAAAGAGTCAGTATCATCCTCCCAAGGTCGCTTAATCGTTCCAGAGCCAAATGGATCACTACCTGCAAGATTATGTTGCTGTTACTGTTGAATTTGTCAAAAATAGAACTGCAGTACTATCAACTAAGTACAGTATATTGCTGCACAGTGTATGAGACAAAAATGGTCATCATTCTGTACCACCTTCCCATGCTCAGTGCAGAATTCTGATACAGTATTGATCTGTGGCTTTAACATGATACTGTACCCATCTTCTCCATTGTCAATGCCCATTCTTCCTTAGGTAGCATCAGTGGTTTGCAAAATTTCCTTAAAGTCTATCAACTCAGTTTAAGATTTTTAATTTTTTACATGGTGAAAACAAAAGCAAGAATTCCCTTTTCCTTCAGATGGGAGCCAAGAAGGAATATGGCTGTTGCATCTCTCATTTACTAGTTCTTATTATGGGTGTAAGGGTGCAAGACCTAATGAACTCACCCAATCCCCTGAAGGAATGCCAGTAACACACTGAGAAACGAAGCCAGTCCTCCATGGTCTTGCCAAGTATCTCCTGCTGAGAGTCATAGTGGCGGAATACAAGGGTCTCGCTGGCACTGGCATCAGGCTTGTACTCAACTTTCCCAATACCTGGGGGATACATAAAATAAGATGATAAATCCCGCACATGGTCTTACTTTCAAATAAAAGTCATTAGTGATCAATAATTTGTACAATTCACAATATTTGCATTCAAATTCTCCACACTGTTTAGCAGGAAAAAACGAAGGCACAAATTGTAAAATAAACTGTAAACGGTACTAGCCGCACTACATCGGAAAATCCAGGGATTATGGGGTCAAGTTAATCAAGACATTACAAGAAGATAGGCTGAGATCTGAGCAGCTAGTCATGGGACTGGAAGAAAACATGCAACAACTCATTGTTAGCTTTGACACCCACTTGGAACCTGTGCACCACAGGCTTGAGCACATCATAAGTCTTCTCACCACCTCCTCCCACTGTGCATGTTGTTACAATGAGCAAAAGGTTCTCTGCAAACTACAATGCCCCTAGCAACTGATAGTCCCACCCAAATCAAGCCTGCAATAGGGGAGGGGGGAATGAACCTGGATTGAGCATCATGGATTCAGACGCCTAACCTATTCATTGACGACCCTTGGCGCTACCACCCACTGACCAACTACAGTAAGGACACAGAAGAATTTTTGTGCCTTAGTCAAGCAAGGCGCCCCCCCTTAATGATTCTGCTGTCAAGCTACAAGGCTAGAAAACTGTGAGGGCAAACTTTTTTGGAGTGAGAATTGTAAACTCTTGGAACAACCTGCTAGAGAGTTGTGACCAGACTTTACCAACACTGGCGCAGGTACAGATATATTAAGAACCAGTACATGCCCGGTACTTGCCAACAGTGTGGAACAGAGAAATGACTGACCGCCCAAGCGGCTAATGAGCCGGTAAGTGGCGAAGAGGATAAAAGTAAAGTATGACTAGTTATGTTATTTTAGATTAAAATGTCCTATGTATGTGAACATAAAAACACAGTAAGAGGTATATTAAAATTACCCCAGGAACATAGTGACTGTACGGGGAGATACTGGTTATAGGAGCTTCTACAAATACAGTACATAGATAAGACCGCCGGCTGCGCTTATCAGTGAATGTGTACGATGGAGAGGCTGGAGAAAGTAACACTGGAGGTGACATACAATGTACTGTACAGATATATAGTACATGATGTGAAGCACCACCTGACACACTCTTCACGTGTGTCCCCACTTGTATTAGCCTCTGTCACATTAATATTATATAAATATGGGCTAAGGACATACAGTATATCCATTACTGTATATACATTCTATCACCCAGACTATTGAGCATACAGCTACATAAGCATTTGTTCTGTCACACCTTCTCGGGTGTACAGCCCATAAAACTACAGACTCAACCCTCAGTGTGTGGTAGGCTGTTTAGACAATGACCGTGTTGAAGTGTAGGTTACTTTCCAACCACCAGGCACCGGACTCAAGAGAGTACAGCTCAGTTCTCACCGGTTTACAGCCCGGCATGATATCCTAAAGACATGTCGTGAAACTAGCTCTCCAGGCTGTACCTCTCTAATTATATCAGCTAATTACAAGCTAATAGCTAATGCTTAATAGTCTGTCAATACCAAATAATTGTACAGACATGACTACCCAATATAACTAGAAAATCACCACGTGTGTTTACATTAAACCAAGGAACAACGAGTGAAGAGAACATTACCTGTGTGTCTTGTTTGACTTACAAGCTAAGATAATTACAAGTACAACCCAGGACAGCTGTGACAATTTCAACTATCAACCAATCTACGACTGTATCAAAGGTGACACGCCGTGAGTTTACCTGATATCTCACTCAGCTGCATCAAAGAAGAAATGGCTGCTGAGATTCAATGTCACGAAGTGTAAGAGGATGCACCTGGGGCGTACCAACGGTAAGGAGGCGTATCATATGTCCCAACGGGAGGAAGAAACTGCACTAGTTGAGACTGTATGTGAGAAGGACCTAGGTGTGTGTTAACAATGAGCTGAAGTTCTCGAGCCATTGCGAGACGAAGGTAAATCAGGCAAATAAGTTATTGGGTCTTATAAGAAGGTCGTTCAGATATGTAGACGGTCCATCCCTCGTAACGATCTTCAGGAGTGAAGTGCTTCCCCATCTGGAGTACTGTCACCCCATCTGGTCCCCGAGATATGCTAGGGACTGTCAGTTGGTTGAGAATGTTCAGAGGGCCACCAGACTGGTGCCTGCACCTCGGCACCTCAGCTACCCTGAGAGATTGGAGTATAAGCATCTGAGAGGGCACTAATCAGTTGAGTGTCCTTACTTGGAGCTGGCGGACACTCGCCCCACAAGGGGTCACAGCTCAAGATTGAAGAAGCCGCAAGTCCAGAAAACCGTGAGGGCAAACTTTTTCGGAGTGAGGGCTGTAAACTCTTGGAACAATCTACCAGAGAGTGTTGTGACGGCATCGAGTGTGAGCTCTTTCAAGAGAAGACTTGACCAACACTGGAGCGGGTTCAGGTACAATCAGGAGCCGGTGCATGCCCAGTATTTGCCAACAGTGCGTGACAGAGACGTGACCGATCGCCCGGGCGGCTAAGAAGCCGATCAGTGGCGAAGAGGTTAAAAGTAAATAAAAGGAGCTGTTTACACCTAACCTGCACGTCACCGTTACGTATCGGTTCGATTCCGTTCCATCACGTCTCGGTATCTCCAGGAGAATATTTTGATGTGATGTGGTTCGCGGATCTGAAAAAAACTATATGATATGTCCAACAAAAAATATAGCGATAATGTTTATAAGGACAGATAGTTACTCTTGAGCAAAACAGCTTCTATTTTCCGCAACAAATGATTGAATTTGTGCTTGGACATTGTAAAATACTGGTAAAATTTCAGTTCATCATCCACAAGCTCCTTGAATAAAGTCCAGTATTCTTCCTCAGTGTTCTGTTTCTTAAGCACTGGTGAATCCACAGTCTCTTATTTTTTTTCTCTGCTTCTTCCTTCATCCAAAAGAAGTGCAATAACTCCAAATTTCTTCTTGCTAAATGAATATGGCGCCATTTTTACTCCGAAGCTACACATCGACTGACCGATTACTGACGGAACTGTGATGGAAGATGTGAATGCTCGCAGTTTTGACGGACCGTTGCCGATCCGTGATGCTACCGTATGTGATGGATAGTGTGAAGTAAATCATTGATAAAAAGGAGGAAGGGAGTAGGTGAAAGAACAGAACCCTGTGGGGCACTACTATTAGCTCCAAGTAAGGACACTCAACTGAGTAGTGCCCCCTGAGATGCTTATACACCTCAACTAGGTCCCCCCTTGCCCGTCTGTAGTATAAGCTAGGCAAGTTCAGGCGCTCCAATCTCTCAGGGTAGCTGAGGTGCCGAAGTGCAGGCACCAGTCTGGTGGCCCTCCTTTGAACATTTTCAACCAACTGACAGTCCCTAGCATATCTCGGGACCAGATGGGGTGACAGCGCACTCCAGAGGAAGCTCTTTCCACTCCTGAAGATCGTTACGAGGGACGGACCGTCTAGATATCTGAACGACCTTCTTATAAGACCCAATAATTTATTTGCCTGATTTACCTTCTTCTCACAATGGCCCAAGAACTTCAGCTCATTGTCAACATACACACCTAGGTCCTTCTCACACACAGTCTCAACTAGTGCATTTTCTTCATCCCGTTGGGACATATGATACGCCTCCTTACCGTTGGTACGCCCCAGGTGCATCCTCTTACACTTCGTGACACTGAATCTCAGCAGCCATTTCTTCGACCATTCCTGGGGCCCACAGAGGTCCTTCAGCAGCTCTTCACAGTCCGCTTGGTTCTTAATTTCCCGAAATAACTTGGCGTCATCGGCAAACATTTGTATGGAGGAGTGTACAACGTCAGGCATGTCATTTATGAAACAAACAAACAACAGCGGGCCCAATACACTGCCCTGTGGTACCCCACTTGTTACAGGTACAGATAACGATTTCGTGCCATTAATCACCACACACTGCATGCGGTCATGTAGAAAGTCTTCTATCCACGCTAGGACATTTCCCCGAATTCCGTACCCTTCCAGTTTGATTTTCAGCCTTTCGTGGGGTACACTGTCGAAAGCCTTGGCAAAATCTAGGTAAATATTGTCGATATTACCACCCCGTTCCAGAATATGGGTCCAAATATCCAATATCTTGAGCAATTGTGTTAAGCAAGAGCGTCCCGGCATAAAACCGTGTTGGCAATCTTTTACAAGGTTGTTTCGTAGTAGATGTTCCATCGCTGCATCTCTGATAATACTCTCAAGTACTTTACATATTATGCTGGTCAGGCTCACCAGTCTATAGTTGTTCGTGGAGTGACTATCGCCCTTCTTGAAGATAGGACTCACATAAGCCACTTTCCATTCACTGGGGACCATTTGTTCATCCAGGCATTTACAAAACAGGATCTTCAGGGGCTCTGCAAGCTCGTTGCACAGCTCTCTTAGCACTCTAGGATGCACCATGTCAGGTCCAGGACTCTTATGGACCTTTAGCCTGGACAGTTTATTTCTAATACCCTCTTTTGTGAACACAATGTGGGTTAGTGCTGTGTCTAACTGCCCGTCTCAAACGCAAGAAGAAGGTTAGTTGGATCTCTCAGAATACTGAGGTGCAGCTGTTCATCACTCAGCTTTATCCCTGGTCAGAATCTATGTGAATTACCATCTTTCGCCTCAGGTCTGATACTTACTGCCAATTTCGACTTTGCATAGCGGTAAAACGCCTTTGGGTTTGACTTGACCTCGCTTGCAACCAGCCTCTGGAACTCCTTTTCAGCCCTCCTAGACTCTATCTTTGCTTGGTTTCTGGCTCTTGCATACATCCTCCTGTCTTGCTCATCGTTTGACCCAACCCAAGTCTTGAATTTCTGGGTTTTCTTCTTAATTTTGTCGACCGCCGCATGGTTCATGTGTAGTGATCCCCTCGTATTCCTAGAAGCACTGGGTTTGGTCTTGGGTATATATTTATCGATCAAATGGGTCATTTTACTAGTTATGATATTCAGCGTAGTGTCTGTGTTCTTGTACCTTAATAAGTCAGGCCAGTTGATACCCCTCATCCCTTCCC